CCCCCACCCCAATCACCTGGTACTCACTCTCCAGGATTTGCAGAACTTAAAACAGAACCTGGCTTTGCTGCACTGCCTGTATCGCCTTCTCCTGCTAATCCCTCTAACTCTGTGCCTCTGTCTAATCCTGCAGCTCCTGCTTTACAGCAGTGCGGAGAAAAAACTGTAGTGCCTTCAGCTCCGCCTTTAACAGACTTCGATGCTAAATGTGACGATTCACTTAATGATTTGGGAAAAAATACACATAGCTTGATGCAACGCTGTCGAGAAAAAGCTCTACAGCAAGGAGATACCATGTTTACTTTTCCTGTTGTATGCAAACCTCATAATCCACCACAGCATGATGGTTTACCTTATGAAATGATAAAAGAATTACAGAAATCAATTCGTGAAAATGGGTTACACAGTTCATTTACAGTGGGACTAGTGGAAGCAATTGGAGGCACTTATACTATGACTCCTTGGGACTGGAAATTACTTAGGACAAGTGTGTTGACTTCTGCTCAGTATTCTGTATGGCAATTAGAATACAATGATTTGTCAGTGGAACAAATTATGGACAACTTGTCATCAGGGATAGCTATAGATCAAAATATGTTACGAGGAACAGGCCCTTACATTATACCTCAGGCACAAGAAGCTTTGCCAAAGCAAGTCTTCGATCAAGCTGCTCGTATTGCGATCATGGCTTTATGACGCATACCCGAAACTGGGCAAGGTATCACTTTGTTTGCCTCTATACGACGGGGCTCTCAGGAACTGTACATATCTTTTATTGATCGCCTTCAAGTTGCAATAACACAGCAGGTAGAAAATCCAGAAGCTGCAAAACTATTATTATTTCAATTGGCTTATGAGAATGCAAATACAGACTGTCAGGCTGCACTGAAATCAGTTAGAGGAAGAGCTACTGACATTGAGCAATATATTAAGATATGTCAAAATGTAGGGACAAACACTTATAGAGTTAACATGTTAGCTGCTGCACTGTCACAGCAACTAAATGTTAATCAAATTACTGTGAAATGCTTTGAGTGTGGAAAATTGGGACATATGGCTAAGCAATGTCCTAAATGACAGAAATCCAAACATGATAAACCTGTAAATCACTTCTGCCCTCATTGTAGTAAAGGATATCATTGGGCAAATCAACACAAATCAAAATTTGACAAAGAAGGTAATATCTTACAGGGAAACTACAGGAGGGGCGTGAGACCCGGTGCCCCGCAAACCAACAGGGTCTGGAATTCAGTGCAGGCACCACTAACTGATGGGACTGCTACACAAACAGGCAGACTGCAAGAACCATCTATGACCTCCAGCCTGCAACTACAGGGAGTGCCAGGCTGGATTTGACAACAGCAGCCGACCTCTCAATAAAAGAACAGAGAATTTATATTGTGGGGACTGCAATATTTGGACCTTTGCCTGATGGCATGTTAGGATTAATAATTGGATGATCTAGTACTACGACACAGGGAATAATTGTATACCCTGGAGTTACTGATTCAGATTATCAAGGGGAAATTAAAATCATGCTACTTCAATGCAAATTCCATGTACAATTCCAGTGAACACAAAAATAGCTCAATTAATATTGCTTCCTTGTTGAGTACCTCAAAACATGCAAAATAATCGAGGTGACGGTAGCTTTGGTAGCACCGGGAGACCTTTTGTATTATGGTCACAGGAAATAACACAAGCCACAGCTGATTTTAAATTTGCAAATTGAGGGTGGATGGTTTTCAGGATTGCTAGATACCAGAGCAGATGTTTCTATAATATCAAAAAAGGACTGGCCAACTTCGTGGCCATTGCAAATAGCTCTTTCTACAATTGTTGGTACAGGAGGCACTCGACAGCCCATGTGAAGTGCCAAACTTTTGTCAGTAAAGAGGCCTGAGAAGCATGAAGCATGGATTCAGCCTTATGTATTTGACTCATCTGTAAATTTGTGGGGAGGAGATTTATTGAAACGATGGCACATAACCCTAACCACAGTCAATTCAAATTTATCCTAAGGGTCACTGATGTAAAACCTCTGCTCAAACTTACGTGGCTAACCTCCGAGCCTGTTTGGGTCGATCAGTGGCCGTTAAAAGGGGACAAATTGATACAAGCCCATAAATCAATTCAAGAGCAGTTGCAGCAAGGACACATTGTCACTTCAACTAGTCCATGGAACATGCCGATTTTTGTTATTCCAAAAAAGTCAGGAAAATGGAGATTATTACAGGATTTACAAGCGATAAATGCAGTGTTACAACCTATGGGGATCACTCAGCCAGGAACACCAAATCCTGCAATGATCCCTAAAGAGTGGGAATTACAAGTCATTGATTTAAAAGATTGCTTCTTAACGATTCCTTTACATCCTGATGACTGTGTACATTTTGCCTTTTCAGTGCCTCCTGTAAATAACGCTGAGCCTATGCAGCATTATCAGTGGACAGTGCTACCTCAGGGCATGATGAATAGTCCTACTATATGTCAGATAGTAGTTGCTGTGGCTATTCAACTGAGCCTAGCTGCATTTCCAAATGCTATAATATATCATCATATGGATGATATTTTAATTGCAACAGAAACAACACAGTATTTGGAAAATGTTGTGCAACATCTTGTAAATTCTTTGCAAACCTTTGGACTTCAAATTGCTACAGAAAATATTCAAAAGATGCCACCCTGAAAATATTTAGGGTGGATTCTTACAGAAAGAACAGTACAGCCTCAATCATTAAAGTTGCAGACACATACACGAACTCTGAACAATGCTCAAAAATTACTGGGAACAATAAACTGGGTACGACCCGTGTTAGGTATAATCACGGAGGAGTTAAGTAATCTCTTTAACATTCTGAGAGGTGATCCTGATTTAACATCACCACAGATCTTAACTCCAGCTGCCAAGGAAGAGTTAAATTTAGTTTCACAAAAGATATCTACGTTACAAGCCTATAGAAGGGACTTAAATTTACCTGTTGATGTGTATGTAATACAAGGTCCAAAACAACCTTTTGCTATTATAGGGCAACATGATAAAGTCGCTCAGAAAATTTTATATTTGGAATGGGTGTTTCTCTCTAACACTTTAAAGAAAAC